TTTGACTAGAGCCGAACGCTATGGGTAACGTCACGCTCACTTGGGCCACTTCTTTATACAGTCTATGGACACCTGCTGCTTTTGACGGGACAGGACGGGTCAAATAAAGACAACAAATTTTGCTATGGGGACCTTGACTTTCATATGTTTAATGCCATACTGTGGAACCTTTCAGCTAAAGCAATGACATCTCCATGGAAACAAACAGCTATCCCATCGCTCAACCACGAAACTTACCAAGTGCACCTTTAACAAAACAGACAAAGTGGTACTACAAAACTGAGTAAGGTGACTTTTCATTATTTTGAAAGGTGCTCAGAAAATAAACGTATTATTATTATTATCCAGATTAATCACAATCAAATCCAAATTACAACTTGAATGGCCCCAATTAGCAAAATCACAAAGGCTGCAATTACCAAGCCAGACCAGACATAATTACTCCTCATTGTTTTGAGAATGGTGAAATTCAATTGTTCATCTGCAGGCCAGAAACTATACAATAAAGTGAAAATGACCTATCAGGAAACAAAACAGTCTTCAAAATGTACAATTCTGTATTAATTTTCGTCCATGTATTTCTTTCTTAAATTGTAAAAGCACATCTTGAGGTCTAAATGAGAGAGCTGTGTTTTGTCTGTGTTTAATTGTCTGAAAAGCAGGAAGTGCAGGGTTAGCATGCTACTTGTTGTTAGTAAATCTCTGCTCTGGCCTCTGAAAGTTGTGAAACACGCTTATAAACTCATCATAATGAATAATTAGGCTGCTCAGAACGTAAGTGAAGTAAGTGAAAAATAACTTTGGACCACTGAAAACTGCTTTTAATGTTTTAAAGAAAGTAAAAATCAGGTACAGTGCCTTTAATTATCCTCAATAAAGCACGAATAAAGACTAAAATTACCAAATAGAGATGATTCAAGGTTAGTAACTCTTAAATTTTACCCCTTAAATCTGCATTTTGTAACTTTTCTGGTGGAGGGTCCGTCAAATGGTTTTCTTCAAGGAGATGTTATTGCTTTTTCTGGAATGCTTCACAGTATGGTAAACCTTTCTATCGTCATGGAGACCAAACCAGGCCAAGATACAGGTCAGATCTGTGGAGAGGCGACCCCGCTCACAGTCAGAATGCCTGTTTTTGTAGGCATTTTCGAGCTATAAAACCACCTGTGATTGAATAAATGTAAGGTAGAGCTGTTTAATGTTATACTGTGGAACATTCCAGGCAGAGCAATGACATAGAAACCATAGAAACAAGCAAAAAGTTACACACTGCATCTTTAAAGTGTTAGTGTGTAACTTTCTGGAGCTGGAAAGTTAAATGCATGATATAGAAAGAAAACCGTTAAAACCTTACTTTGGAACATTGCCCATTGAGACAGAAATGTTTTGTGGAAGATTAAAGCCCAAGCAACAACATCTCTACGGAAACAAGCACGTGCATCCCTCCTCTAAACCTGAATCGGGTTTGTGGAGATGCAAGTCCGCTCCTAACAGGGCACATGTTTTTTTTTCTATGTTTTTCAGTGCAATAAAGACACCCATAATGAAAAAAAACTTAATAAAACATTGCATCTATATTAGTCAAATTTTTGGTAGAAAAGTTAATTCAGTTGTTAGTAAGCCTGAAGCATTCTTAATTAACAATTTTCTCATTATGCTTTAGTAAAGTTAAAGAAGTTGTAGCTATTTTAAAGTACCATGCATGTCTTTTTAATTAGTTTTTTAATTTTTATTTTTAGTTATTAGTTGTTAGTTGTAGATCTAATCACAATAGGCTCCATTCACAGTTACCAAAAGTCCGTTTAGAAACATGAAAATGACGACTTCTGGTGTAGTTACCGACATGAAATGATAAAACCGTGGACTCAGCAGCAGCATCTTCACAACCTGCCAAAGTTTTCCATGGGGGGACGTGACTCTAATCGTGTCTTCAATGTCATTGTCTGTTGATCCGCCGAACATAACGGAACGCTACAGTGGCATCTTGTTATTTTATTTATTCATATTTTTAAAGTTAGGCAAGTTATAATACACACATTGACATCTAGATGAAGAAAACCAGGCCACGTTTTCGTTTTTTCCCAAATTTGGTCAGAGTTACTCTCGCCAACAGAGCCCGAAGTAAGTCGTCACCCGCATCTTTCCAAACGTTTTTCGGTTTTGTGAAGCGTGAACAGAGCCCATTGCAACACTTCGGAAAAATCACTATTCCATATTTTTTCCCGTAGTTGTTCAGTCTTGCAAGAAAATCCATTAGCAAACATGGTGCATCAGTTTGACAAGCGTTGCGGCGCATTATAGACAGATGACCACACGCACACACACACACACACACACACACACACAGAGTTAACTGGCAGCTTTACTGGATCTAAAGAGACAGAGATAGGAGCAGAGACGGAGCGCTCACTCTGATGTGGGAGAGATTGAGACGTTAGCGTTGACATGAGAGGATGAGAGGAGAGTAATGTGTCCTACATAGAGAAAAGCAGAAGCATATTGACTGGTAGTATACGTGTTTAAACTTCACTACAATTTTCACGTAACTACTTTCTCCACGTAAAGAAAATTTAACTGGTAATTAGCCTAAGCTGCGTTCCTAAATAAAATTACAATCACAACTGAACCTCAAACTGAAAAAAAGAGAGAGTTGGGTTGTCAAAATTATTCAAAATCAGATACTAGGGATGTAAAGATATCAAAATCCCTCGATATGATATTTTCACAATATGCATCTCACGGTTTGATATTTATTGTGATATTTTGTGGAGGTTTACAGAATTAATATGCTACAAGCCCTGGAAAGCCGCTGATACTGTTATAATATGAAGAATTAAGATGTAAAAGTGCTTAATAACAGTTATTTCTTCATGTAGGCTGTACTGACAACACCAAAGGATCATGGTCTATGTAGTTCCCATTGTTGTTTTTAGCTACTGCTGTAACATAAAGTAATTCAAAGTGCTTTACAGAATAAAAAAGACATTAAAATCACAAAGAAAGATATTAAAATCACCATAACTACTAATTTAAGACTTGTAATTTGATATATTGTGATGGCCTCTGATATTATTGTGAGACTTTTGACGATGCGGTATCACGATATTTCGGTCACTGTTACATCCCGATCAGATACTAATCAATACTTAAACTGGCATCGAAACTAGATACTCATTTGCGCGGGTCTCGATACTGAAAAAGTCACATTCACAGGTCAAAAATGAACTTTTCTGAATAGCTTTTGAATGATTTGTGCTGTATCAGAAGAAGTATAAGAGCACATAGATTAGTTTACGACCAAGGACACTGAAGGATTACACATAGTATATAAAACCAGACAGTAATACATGAGGAAAATACTACAATTTAATGTTGACAATTACATTCGAAGTGTGTTTTTTATTATCGTTGTGGTGTCAAGTATATTCCTTAGTTGGTATCAAAATCGAAAACACTAATAGAGACTCTTTTTTGAGAGTACTGGAAAAGAATTTTAGTAGTAGGATCTGGCAACCCAATGGAAAAAAAGTAAATTTGCTTTTTTGAAGTACAAATGTTATGCACATAGTCAAGTACTTTAGTTATGTGGTTATATATATGTTTTTTTCTGAGCACATATTCTTATTTCAGAACGCAAATACGCCAAAAAATCTTACATATTACATTTTAACTTTTACAATTTGAATTTCAATATTGTTTTGAATAGAAATTTAATGTATATATTTCTTCCTTTTTTTTTTTTTTTCATTATTGATTTGCATTTAAATTTCAAATAAAAACTTTGCACTAATACATCTGTTCCTTCTTATGCACCGAACTTAAAAGGAGCAGATAATGTTTATGAAGATGCTGGAGACAGGAGTGACCTATTTATTGTGATCTGCCATTTAGGAAAAGTAAAAATAGTGAAGTATTAGTGATACTGAGTCAAAGTTCAGCGAAAATCACTGCGATAATGTCAACGCTCACAGACAGATGTGGTTCAAGAGAAGAAAAAGAGGACAGAGACACAAGACAGAGAGAAGAGAAAGAAGAGAAGAGAGGGAAGAAGAGATAGAAGATAGAGAGAAGACAGAGAGAGAAACAGAAGAGATATGAGAGAGAGAGAGAGAGAGACAGAAGAGAGAGAGAGATAGAGAGAAGAGAGAGAGACAGAAGAGAGAGAGAGAGAGAGATAGAAGAGATAGAAGAGGCAAGAAGAAAGAGAAAGTAGGGAAGAAGAGCTAGAAGAGAGAGAAAAGAGATAGAAGAGACTGATAGAAGAAAGAGAGAAGAGCGCAAGAGGTAAAAGAGAGAGAGATAGAAGAGACAGAATAGAGAGAGAGAAGAGAAGAGAGAGAAACAGAAAGAGAGAAAAAGAAAAGGAGAGAGAATAAAGAAAGAGCGTGAGAAAGAGATAGCGTGTGAGAGATTTTCCCCATATTGAGATCATATCACATTTTAAAGATACATTATGGAACCTTTCTGATAGAGGTTCTGCCGCACGCTTGTCTCAATGGAGATACTAAAATTTCAAGCTCAATGTTGATAAAGAATAGACTCGATACTCAATACTGATTTTGATTTCCAAATGATCATTTTAAAAGCCCTTTTTTAGACAATATTGTAGTTTTTTATACTAAGTAATAGTATTTGCTTCTGGTTTTACACCGTGGTCTTCTGATAAAAATCCAGTTTTATCCAGTTTATGTGACTTCTTCAGTATCGATACTTGCTCAAATGAGTATCTAGTTTTGATACTAGTTTCAGTATTGATTAGTACTTCGATACTTTTGACAACCCTGCGAGCAATACGATCTCCATAGTAACAAGCAAGTGGCAGACTTCACCAGAAAAGTTTCTTAGTACATCACTCAATTTTAAGCAAAGCAGCAAACTGAACACCTTAGCGTTATATGCAGTATATTTTCTTTTGATATAGATAATTTGTCAGAGAATATTACAATAAGAGTCATTTTGCGATACGTTGTGGCAGTAACAGTAAAGGGAGGGGGCTGTACCGGTGGGCAGGGCTGGGTCCATGGTGGTCTTCTCCCACGAGTTGACTTGCTCCCAGGTAAATCCATTGGTGCCCAGAGACACTGTAGCCACAGCTGCTGTACGACTCCTCGAAGGTGCAGCCTCCTGTCACACAAACACAAAGACCTGTTAGAAGAGTCCTGTTTGAAAGAAGAACTGAAAACTTAAAGGTCCTATATTACACAAAATTGACTCTTGTGAGCTTTAAACCATGTTATAATGTTGTTGCCTCATCAAAAACAAACCTGGAGTTGTTTTGTTTCATTCACACATGTTTGAGTAATGCTTTACTATTAATCTGCCTTCATATCAAAAGCTGAAAATGCTCTGTTTAACCTTGTAATGTCATGAAGCAGTAGTTTTTAAGGTAACAGCTACACTTTATTTTTAGTTCAGTAGAGATCATCAATTCTGGGGCTGAAATCATCCAAATGATTCTGGTGAAGGTGGATGGAGTTTAAAAACACAGTGGAGCACTTCCTGTATTACCAAATGATATCACAATGTGGAACAGAGCATTTTCAGTTAGAGAAAGAAGAATTCAAGCTAAATGTGCAGGGTTTGTGTGTTAAACGTGTAAATGAAACAAAACACAACTCCAGGTCTGTTTGTGATGAGGAAACAACATTATAGCATCAAGGCACTTCACATTCACACACTCATAGATCAGTGTACGCAAACACTGGGGGGCGAGGTAGGTTAAGTGTCACAACAACAGGATCTGACCGCTCAGCCAATGATGTTTATGTGGAGAGCAAGATTCGAACCACCAACCAAGTGGACAAATGCTCTACCAACTGAGCTACTATCGCCCTGATCAGAACACAGATTGAGATCATATGTCACATAGATCAGAAAACAGTGTAATACGGACTGTATTGTTTCCAGGAAATCAAACATTTAAAGCCATTTTATTAGTTTTCAATTAGATAAAACTGCATTAATCATGATCAAAAAACATGAAGAAAAATACTACAGTATACAGTAAAAATGACAGTTTTTTTCTTGTAATATCAGCCTGCCCTATACACATTTACATCAGGGGTCTCCCACTTTATTCTTCCAGTGAGTTACCTTTACAAAGAGAATGCCAGAGAGCTACTAGTTTTAGCTGTCACAAGAAATGGAGCATGTTTAAGGGCCACAGCGAGGCTTAAATGAGGTTCCGTTAGACACTTATGAAACTTAAACCATTACCCAATTACCGTATTTTCCGGGCTATTAGACGCGCTCTTAAGTCTCTAACCCCATCAAAAAACGGCCGCGCGCCCCACAATCCAGAGCGCCCTGTACACGAATCCACTCGGGTGTCCCAGCACGACTTCAGTAAACTACAAAGCCGCACCACCCGCAGCGCACGCAAACACACACGGAGCAGACAGCGACCGTGCAGCGAAACACACTCGCAGCCACACTCATCACTCAACGCCGACGAGGAACGGAACGGAGGAACGAACTGAAAAAGCGAGTCCAATGTGCCACTCTGAGCCAAAACTGAACAACTGAGTCACTGCGAACACGCCGACAATCCTGCGGTCCCAGACAGCACCCTCCCTACACGCCACAACTGAACAAAGCCCAGAGTCACTGTGAACGCGCCAAACAAAGTCCAACTGACCCATCCAACTGTTGTGTTTCTTTTAAAGTCCAGTGCGGTTTATTTGTGAAAAGAGTTCGAAAATAGACCATTTAATGACAGTGCGTCTTATAATCCAGAGCGCCTAATAGCCTGGAAAATACGGTATTAGTGCACAACGTTAGGCATTAAAATAATACATGTGTAATAGTAATAGGCATTTAATGAATCAAATTTTACTTATTCAGGACAATACGTGTAATTCAGAAATCCCCTCTCCAAGGGGTTGGAGAGCTACTGGGAGCTCCCGAGCTACAGTTTGGAGACCCCCGTTTTACATACATTTCCGAAATCCTGTTCAAACTGGACTAGACTAAAAATCTTAAACTTCTCCTGACGCGCATGCGAACGCAGCAACCCTATCTCACCAGAGACAAGACACAGCTATCATCGCGTGTCATTCTGATTGGACACGCTTATTTCCTGGTTATTTAAGGACTCATTTTCCGGCGCGTTAGCCTTCACTGCTCGCCCCAGGATACACGCACACGCTCATAATCCCACATATGTTTGACACACTGCAGTTTAATGTGTCCTGAAGTGTGTGATGAGGCTGTCACTGCGCGCTGTACTTCATGTGTGTTACTGGGTGAAAGAGAAGTCACTGCTTTTCAATGTATTCACAAAGAAAACGCGTAAACCGAAGCCGGAGGCAAAAGAAGCAATTTATTTTAAAGGTCCTATTATGCGAAAATTTGACTTTTGTGAGTTTTAAAGGTCCTATATTACACAAAATTGACTCTTGTGAAGTTTAAGGCATGTTAAAATATTGTTACCTTCTCAAAAACATACCTGGAGTTTAGGCCTGTAACGATAACAGATTTTGCTGGACGAGTAATTGACAAAGAATTTATTGCGATAAACGATAATATGGACATTTTGAGACCAATTTCAACTAATATAATGACCATGGAATAAAAATGCAAATACACCCTTTCAAAGATCAATAAACCTTACTTTCTAAAGAATATTCAACACAGGAAATGTAAGACAACCAAAAACAACAGGCCTAAATAAAACATAGGACATAGGACTATCCTAATGTGTCTGGCTCACAGCGAGAACTTGTTAACAAAAATGCACTTGAATAAACCACTGTTGAATCAAATACAACCAAAGCATTAAATAAAATGGATTATTAAGTCTCTGTAACAAAATTGCCCTTAAAAATTATGTTAGTTATTGACTTATATTGGAATATAGTGGCTCCTCTGTCTGTGGCTGCTGCTGTGAGCCTCGGCATTTTGGTCATTTAAATGTTCGTATTAACCCGCGACACAGGATGCTGTTGCTATGAGGGAGTCACTGTCCTGTCCAGTATCGTGTCGGTGTCTTGTGAGATTTCAGTGGATTTCGGGCTTTCCCGGGGGCTAGGTTAGATCTGTCCCTCGGGTTTGGGTTTATCGTCTGTCGGAGCTTGTGCCATTCCTTCTCGTTGTTTTCGCTCTCACTGCATTTGAAGCATGTGGCTGTTGAGACGTGTCCCGCTCACCGGTGTTGATTTGGCATCGTGACTTGTTTTGTCACTCGGCGATGAACTGTTTCGGTTCTGACTAGGGATGGGCATTCGATGAAATTTTCTTAATCGATCGTCGGAAAGATTAACGATTATCGATTAATCATCAACGTTTTTATATTAAAATGATCATCATTATTATTACTATCTGCACTACTAATCTGCATAAATAAATTCAACTTTACGACATATAAACCGTAACGACTCTAGAGCCACATCAATCCGTTTGAGATTTTAATGTGTTTAATTCAGTTTTGCGCAACTCTCACAGAAACGAAACTTAAAACCGCATCGCTAATTTGCATAAACTCAGCGAAGATAAAACTACAGCTCTTGTGTCGCTGATGCGGTCAACTTCTGTCGGATTAAAAGAAGTGATTCAGTGGAAAACAGGTTAGTGTGACCAGATTTGTGTTTGTCAAAACCAGGACAGCGTACGGGGGGTGGGAGGTGGGGACTCGTCATCGTCATTGCGCGACTCTCACCTAGCAAAACTTTTTCCCACTGGACACCGAAACATATGTTCCTGCTTTATACACTGTGCACATGGACTCACACTTGTCCCGAACGCAACAGAAAGCGTGGAATTTCTTGTACAAATCATCGTTAAATACACATTTGTGCTTCGGTACGCTGCAGACTGACCGACTGTTTGTGACTCGCTCCTTCTGAGTGCAAAGAGACACATGTACAGACCCCTGTTTGGTCACGCTACGCACAGCAACCTACATTCGGTTTGTCGATTAAAATTAAGGTAATCGATGAAATTCTTAATGATCAATTATCGATTAATCGATTAATCATGCCCATCCCTAGTTCTGACAGCGGCACTTGTGTTGCGGCTTCATGTTTTGCCGCACAGACAACGTCACTTTCTGCACTCAGACTACGCGCGCATCCACTTTGTTAATAAACACAGCGCACGTTGGTTCAAGCATCATTACGATTATTAAACGAGAGGCGTCAGAGAGCGATAGAAGCCTTCTAACATTCACCCTCTTTGAGAGCGAGAGAGAGCGAAGAAAACAAACAAGCATGCAAATACAAGTTACTGCGGCGGGAAAAGTTATCGAGCTCGTTAAAAGTTACCGTACGATTAATTGATTATCGTTACAGGCCTACTGGAGTTGTGTTTTGTTTCATTCACACATCACACAAGATTACAAAACAGACCAGAAAATAGTCTAATATAAGTCCTAGAAGGCAAAAACAGGAAGATGAACAGCTATGTACTATAAATAGTCACAGAAATAAAGAAGAAATATAAATGTAGAAGCATTTCCAAACTCCATTAAATAAAAAAAAAAAAAACCTTTGAAGACTGAAGTACCAATTGACATTCTTTGCTTCTAGTCTGACTTTGGCTCGTGCTATAAACCTGTCCACTGGAAAACACACTATCTCCTTTCCACATTTTGAACATTCACTTAAACCTCTTTTTCTGCAGCAATAACAGTTTCTCTCCGCAGCGTGCCTCAATCTTACACTTGCAACTGCTGCCAATAACCCTCCGTCTAACCTAGAGACAGACTTTTCTGCTTCCTCCTGAAAATTCATAAACCAGCTCAAACAAACAAACAGACTGACACCAAATTTGAGACGGCTGCTGTTGAAATTAAAGCTTTAAAGGGCCCACATGATGCTTTTTTCTGATGTTATAATGTTGTTTCCTCATCGCAAACATACCTGGAGTTGTGTTTTCTTTCATTCATACATGTTTAAACACACAAATTCTGCATATTTAGGCTGATTTCTTCTCTCAGACACTGTGTTTTTAAACTCCATACACCTTCACTAGAATCATTTGGATGATTTCAGACCTGGGATTATCAATCTTTACTGAAGCAAAAGGTAAAAACAGAGGCGGCGCTACCATTAGGCAAAATAAGCGGCTGCCTAGGGCCCCCAAATCTGGAGGGGCCCCCAACCAAAAAGCCTCAGAGCAATTTAATT